TTTGTCTTCATCCTGTTGGAAATTCTAGCAACGGGTTTATCCCTTTTTGGGCTATAAAATGGCACCCAAATCCTCTCTTTTAACACACAATTCTTCAACATTTCAATACTCATTCATTGCATAAGCATTCCTATTTTTCTTAGCTATTTGAGAGCCAATTCTTGAAGAAATTGTCGTGTTCTTGAGCGTTTACTAGTTCACTCATATCTACTCTTGTGAGAGTTTTATTCCTGAGTGTTTAAGTGTTTTCATACACTTTAAGGGAGGTTGTTCCCTTGTTGTAAACTCGAAGGAAATTACTTGTTCCTTCGTGAGAAGTCTTGGAGTGCGGTATCTCCGAGCAAAGGTGTTGAGGCTCGTGTGACTCGGGTTCTCAAGTTGTATCGGTTTGTTAAGCACCCTTAAGCTTAACGGAGTTAGTGTAGCTCGAGAGAGTCTCTCGGGAGGCTGGATTAGCCACACGTTGTGGTGAACCAGGATAAAATCCGGTGTGCTCCTTCCTTACGCTCTTTACTTTAACGCTCTCGTTTTAATTTCCTGCGATTTTGTTTTAAACGCTATTCACCCCCCCACTAGCGTTGGGCCTTTATTCTAACACATATGAATGATGGAAGCGTACCGACAGCGAACCGCAGACGCTAAAGCCTTGGACATGGGCCTACTTCGATTGGGCCTTCAAGAAATAGTACATCCCGGCCCGTTTCCGGGAGGAGAAGCGAACAGAATTTATGGAACTGCGACAAGGGGACATGACCCTTGCTGAACTACGACAGAAGTTTGAGCACCTGGCTCAGTTTGCACCCACGCTGGTGTCCACACCAGCTTACAGGATTGAAGAGTTCAGGAAGAGGTTGCGCCCCGACATGCGACCTTATGTATCTACTGTGATCACCACTGATTTTTCCGAAGCAAATGATCTGATGGCTAAGGTGGAGAAGGACGTGGACGATCTGAAGGCAAGCATGAATGCTGGAGGGGTAGGTTGTAACACCCAAACCCGCATAACCCAAACCCGTGAGACAGCGGACCGGTGTGCCACTGGATTGGTATCCGAATATACAACATTTTCAAAACAATTTTAAACAAACATACTATCAATACATATAAAAATCCATCGGAGTAATTTAAAATAATGCAGAAGCCTTTTTAAAGTCAAACAACTTGGGATCTTGCCCGAAAACGTAATAAGCATTAAAGTTAATTAAATAAAGCATAACTATAGATTAAAGAGACAGCCACGCCATCGTACATCTCCTCCTCAACGCCCTCTGGGATCGGCTCTAGGTTCATCTGTCTAATCACCTACGGACAGCAAAAAGGAAAACAACGCTATCCGCTCAGCATTGACGCTGAGTGGCACTCCATTGTAGCACAAGAATAAACATAATAATTCAATGATTAAGATCGCGCATATGTTTATCCTTTTAATAAAAATCAATTCAACTTTAAATTCGGTTCATTAGACGGTTGACCAATAGTCAACTTATTTTCTTTCTTTTTAAAACGATTTAGGTGTTAAGGGTTCCTCATTAACTCTTTGACCACCGGTCAACCCAATTTAGACTTTCACGAAAGTCAAACCATTCAACATTTATTGCCTATGACGGAGATAGCCTCAATCCGTAATACCGAAGATAGCCTCAATTCGGTGGGGGTAGGATCCCTCGGGCGATGGCCTCAAACCCAAGATCACAGACCCTCGTGCGCACGTCTTAACCTCACTCACCAGGCCCTGCAGCCGCCCGAGCAATGGCCAGTTTCTATGTTCGACATAATAAACCAATTGATCCTAATTACTGATTAGAATTAATTAATTAACTTAATTAATTCATTAAAGTCTTGGATTTAACCATTAGGTCAAACCTACGTCAACAGAATATCCAGTCAAAGCCCAAGTCAAACAGGACCTAACCCAAGTCAAAGTCAAACCTGTTCAGTCAATTCACAATCCTCAACAATTCAATTCAAACAATCAACTTAATTCAATTAACCAATTTAGCCAAATTATAGCATAAACATATATAACGATCCAAACCATTAAATCTATTCTGAACGCTATTAACTTCATAGTAGGGACCTGGATTACGCAGAAATCGAATCGATAGCTCGAACGGAAAACAAATCAACGAAATCAAACGAACAACGGATAAAATTGAGCCAAAACACGAAATCGACCAATCAATCTGGTGGTGACCGGCGTTCGGCGTGGCAGCGCTGCAACTCGACGGCGAGGATGGCGGACGCCGGTAGTGGAGGCGGCGTACAGTGGCGAGGCGGCAGCAGCTCCCAGAGATCACGAACAGAGGAGCAGCTCCGGTGATAGCCTCTGTCCGGCGGAGTCCCTAGCTGCAACAGTGGCGAACCGGCGATGTATCAGTCCGGTGATAGGTTTAGGTTTTATTTAATGATCCCATTCCTAAAAAGATTGGGCTTCGGGCCCAAAATACCTGATTAAACGGCCATAACATGAGCTCCAAAACTCCGATTCGCGAGCCGTCTGAACCGACGCGATCACAAAAATATTTCCTACGAGATGACATAAAAGTTGGGCTTAGAATCCAAATTATAATTTTAACCCCTTTTTGGGCCCAATTTGTAATCAATTGCTCTAACAATTTAATTAATTCTTTTGGGCCAGATTTCGGGGCGTTACATTTCTCCCCCCCTTTAAAAGAATTTCGTCCTCGAAATTACGTGAGTCAGTGGTCGTCAAAAAGATGAGGGTACTGAGTTCGCATAGATTCTTCGGTCTCCGAGGTTGCTTCTTCCACCGCATGATTACACCATAGTACCTTTACCAAAGGTACCGTCTTATTTCTTAGTACTTTAGTTTCGCGCGCCAAGATCTTAACTGGCTCTTCTTCGTAAGACAAACTCTCATCGAGGGTTACAGCATTGGTCGGCAACACATGAGTCGGATCTGAATGGTATCTACGTAGCATGGAGACATGAAAGACGTCGTGAATCCTGTTCAACTATGGTGGCAACTCTAACCTGTAAGCAACAGGTCCTATTCGCTCCAGAATTCGGTAGGGTCCAATGAATCTAGGGCTAAGCTTCCCTTTCTTCCCGAACCGTAGGACCTTCTTCCAAGGTGAAACCTTCAAAAATACCATGTCACCAACATTGTACTCTATGTCTCGTCTCTTTAAGTCTGCATAAGATTTCTGTCTGTCCGAAGCGGCGCGGAGTCGGTCTCTGATCACACGAACCTTCTCCTCGGTATCCTGCACAATATCTGGTCCCTCGAGCTTACGCTCGCTAAGCTCTGTCCAACAAATCGGGGTTCGGCACTTTCTGCCGTAGAGTGCCT